ACAAAAATGCGCATTTAGTGCCTGCTGACTGCATTTGCAGCTGACACCGAGAGCTTTGGTGACTTCACCTTGGACTGGCCAATCTACGCATTTGTGCAGCCATGCTGAAAGACAGAGCAAGAATCTGATACATGGCGGTCTAGATGATAGGATCTGCAAATTGTGCAGATCCGCAAATGGGCAGATCATCTCTGCTGAGGCGCAGAAAGCTCCAGCTTCTGCGACGCTGCCTCGTCCGCCTCAGACCGTCTGTCCCGGTCGGCTACCCACCGACTGACACGTTCCGCCCCAGTGAGCAGCCATTCTCGTCCCGACTGAATGGAAGGCTCGTCTTCTCGCTTCACCGGACACACATGCCTTCATCCGTGGCCGCTGTACTGGCAGCGATCGCACCAATTCACATGCCCAACTCGCGCCAGCAAGGCGGATGCACTTCTGCGGTGCCAACAGGGCTTCGGGCGAGAAAACCAAGAGGAAAATCAGAAATGTCGCCAATAGGCAATCCAGTACACATTTCCCCATCATAAAAGCACGCCTTGACTACCACCACCAGTCATAATGATGCGTTATTAACATTTTCATATACCGTATTTTACGGCGTATAAGACGACTTTTCACACCATAACTTTCTGCTCCTAAGGGGGGTCATCTTATACGCCGGAAAATAGGGTTACTCATTTTACGTTGTTTGGATGTGTCATGTACGTGCATACAAATGCCTAAGATTTTGACTAATATTTTATGCGACATTACGTATGAATAGAAGTTGTTTGACCGCGTTTTCGCAACTTGGTCATATTGGTAGGATTCACACATTCATGGGAGATACCATAACTGTTTGGCACACGTTTGGTCAAAGAATCGGCTTCACTTGTCTCTTTGAAGAGTTGTTGTATGGTGCTACGAATGGCGGACTCACTGACGATGTCTGGGAAAGTACCACGTCCACAGTCCGACTATGAAAATAATTATGCATACAATGGACTCCGGACATAGTGCATTCTTCTAAGTCTCCCTACCAATATGACCAAGTTGCAAAAACAGGGTCAAACAACTTGTATACAACGAAAGAAGACTGCGACCACACAAAAGGTCACACCATCTTGGTCTTCATATCTTCAAATATCTATTAATGTTGCATACATATCTACCTACCTACAAACGCGCATACATACTTATATATATATTTATATACATACACACACACACACACACACATATATATATATATATATATATGTGTATGAAAAATACAAAATTTCCAAAGTATTATTAAATATTTATATTTAAATGTTGAAATATTAATATACCTTTGACAGCATACAGCCAAGTATTTTTTCACCTGACCGGAGAAGGAGTAAAAGTTTGATAATAATACATTGTTGAGCTGAAAGTGTTGAGTGAGGATATTCGAAGCTCGATTCCATGACAAGATGACGGCCGATTCCTCTTGACCAGCTGCAGATTGGCTTTACTGGAACATTCATGCTGACGCTGTTTCCGAGGCAATCTCCTTCGATTTCGATGAAGGTGGTAAGCTTTCGTCCGTCCCATCAAAGAGGCCATACATAGAGTATAGATACAGCTTTTTAGAGATAAGCCAGTGAGTTTGCTTGATTCGTTAGCTTCAATTTGGTTGTGAGGATGGTCCCTTGCCCTGATGATACTCGTCACATGATGGACGAAAGCTTAGCACCTTTTCACCGGAATCGAATGTGGTTACCTCGAAAACAACCTTGCTAAGAGTGTTTCTGTAGGGTCAATTGACAGCTTGTCAGGAGGAATCGGCCGTCGTCTTCTGGTGGAATCGAGCTTG